TATGTATGTATATGTCTATGTATGCATATGTATGTATTATGTATATGTTTTATTTGTAGATGCAGGTATGCTTGTATTTATGTTTGTATGAGTCTATGTATATGTATATGTGTATGTATCTGTATATGTATGTTTGTATGTAAGTACGTAGGTATGTGTGTGTATGTATGTATGTATATGTATATGTATATGGATATGTATATGGATATGTGTATGTATATGTATATGTATATGTATATGTATATGTATGTACACTAAATGTATGTATAAAAAGAATACATGTATGCATGTCTAGACTTGTCTTTAGTTCACATACCTATACACAACATATCATATGTTCCCGTTTGTATAGTCTGCATGTCTGATTGCTGTGTTGCTGCTTTTGTAGGCACACATGGTGTGGGCTATGTGTGTTTGTTATGTAGCTCAGGCTGGACGACAGTGCCTCGCAAGTCCTGTCGAAGAGCTCGGCCGACAGTGACTTGAAGCAAATGATTGCTGCTCTGATGAAGGACAACAAGGAACTGAAACAGATGCTGCAGGAGGCCAAAGCCAAGCCGAGCCCTCCGAAGACATCGTTCAAGGGTGCGGTGAAGGTGCTGAAGCCTCCTTCGGAGCAGGCCGGATTCGATGAGGACGAAATGAACAGGGCTATCGAGGCCTCCCGGGCGGAGGCAGGCCTTTCCTCTTCGTCCAAGGCTGGCTCCTTGGCATCTGGAGGGTCCGGTCGCGACGATCCTGACCTCGATGGCGAGGCTTTGGACGACCCCGACGAGGAGGATGGTGAGGCCGAGCCAGAGGAGGAGGAGAAGCCCGGTGAGGTCGAGGGTGGCGACAGTGCCGAAAAGCCCGACAACGAGCCCACGTCGACATCCCACCGCAAAGAATATATGCAGTTGATCCGGAAGATGGAGTCGGCGGACCCGGCTAAGTTCCCGGAGGTGTCGGCCCTTTGGAATGCCAGCAGAGCTGTGCCCTTGATCGCACATACGTACAGAGTACACACATGTGAATTTTGATCGTATGTGGCCAGTGTGTAATTTTCACACGGCTCTATGTCAGGAGAAAAGGGAGCTCTTCCGCTCGTGGCTCAAGTCTGGCAAGAACCTCGAGGCGACCGAGAGCCAGCTCGTGATCAGCAAGAGCAAGGCCAGCGAGACCATTCACTCGAAAGAGTTGCTGACCATCGCGGAGATGGTTGCCAAAGGCTTCTCGAAGAGGGGGCCCTAGTCCGATGTGTGTTTCGTACTCCAGCTTGTGGCCTGGAAATCTATTAGCTGAGGTACAAAATCGAGAGCTTGGTGAGGAAGGGCAATTGTGTGGTGGATGAGGACGTGCCGGATGACCCCGAGAGTACAAGATATTGGTGCTCGACCGGTGCCGTGAACAAGGACATCGCAAAGGAGAAGCAAAAGGGCAGCATGCGTGTAAAGATCGCTGGAACTCCGGGCTTCGGGGACTCCCTGATGAGTGGTACTGAGAAGCTTGGGTCCCTGAAAAGGGCTTGGAGCTCCTCTAACTTGGCAGCTCCGGGTGCGGAGGAGGCCTTAGCTTTGGTGGGCACGCTTCATGACGGAGCATCTGCTGCTGGAGCTTTGCCTCGTGTGTAGGTCTATATGTGCATGTCTGACTGTCACTTATTGCAAGCTCCCGTTCGTGCTCTTCTGTGTTTTGTGGGTCATACGACAGCAAGATTTCTTCACATATGTGTGTATGTATCCGTGTATACATATATATATATATATGTGTGTGTGTATATATATATGTATACATACACAATGTATGTACATACATATAGAGTACGTATTACTAATACATAATATA